CTCCTGCCCTGAGCCGAGAGCAGAGGGAATTTTATTCCAGACAGATCCCGGAATTCCAAATCTTTTGGAGACCGTGGGAATTGGAGTCTGGAGGTTGGAGCCGAAAAAAAAAGAAATCCCAAATCCCCAATTATTATCCCAAAATTTAGCGGGATTGAGTTTTGCTGGGATTAAAAAAAAAAAAAAGGAATTCTGGCTCCGAGGATTCCCACGGAAAACCTCCCGGTTTTTCCAAGTTTTCCCAGGATTTGTTGCTCCGGGATGAGCGGGGCTGGGGCAGATCGGAAATTCCCAATTCCCGGGGATTTTTGGGAGCTTTTCCAGGAGGGAGCAGCTCCGCCAAGCGGGGGAAAGAGGCTCCCGCATCCAAATCCTGCGGAATTTGGGAATTTTCCCACAATTCCTCCCAAAAATTCCTCCTCAAAACTCCACGGGCGGCTCCTCCCCATCGGGATCGGGACTGGCAGGGAATCGGCTGGAGATTTCCTTCGGGAAAAATGGGATTCTCCCGTTTTTTCCCGGTTTTCCTCCCGGTTTCTTTGGAGCTTTTCCAGGCTCCGTTTTGGAGCTCAGGATTTCTCTGGGAAATTCCCAATCCCGGCTTTTCTTCCCGGTTTTTAGCGAGATTTCCCTGGGAAAGGAGGAGGGGAAGGTTTTGGGAAGGGGATGGACCTTGTGGGGTTTTTTATGGAATCATGGAATGGTTTGGGTGGGAATGGAACCTTCGGGATCGGCCGATTCCATGGGCAGGGACAATTCCACCATCCCGGGCTGCTCCAACCCTTCCTTGGAAATTCCCGGGATTTGGGGCAGCCCCAGCTGCTCTGGGAATTCCCAAATCCCACCCCAATTCCCCTTTTCCAATCTGGAGCCATTCCCTGTGTCCTCTCCTTCCAGACCTTTCCCAAATTCCAGCTCTCCCGGAGCCCCTCCAGGCCCTGGAATGTGCTGGAAGCTCTCCCTGGATCCTTCCCTTCTCCAGGAGAACATTCCCAGCTCTCCCAGCTCTGGAATTGGGATGAGGATTCCACAGCAACAACAGTCGGACACGGATGAGACTTTCCCAGAGTGAAGTTTTAATCGGGAATAAACTCAAACCTTCCCGAGTTTTCATTGGGAACAAAATTCCAGGTGCCCAAATTCCCACCAGGAAAGAGATTTTCCCTTTCCCAACATTTCCCGGATCCAGGGAAAATCCGGGATCTCCCTTTGGGCACCGCCGAGGCTCCGGATCCATCTCGGTGCTACCGAGGGAAACGGGAGGGAATTCTGGGAATTTGGGGAATTTTTGGATTTTCAGGATGCAGGGAGGGGAGGGAAAAGCCGACGGATTGATCCCGCTTCCCAGAAATCCCAAGGAATGTCTGGGATTTGATCCCTCCCGTGCTTCCCTGGGCGTTTAGGCTGGAAAATTCCTGTTTTGGGATAAAAGCGGGAGCTGCTGCTCCAGGGATTTTCTCCAGACTCCCCCACATCCACCCCAAAATTTGGGATCTCCTCGGAAAACTCGGCGGGATCTCCCATTCTCCGGGAAAACGGAGCGCAGGGATGAAGGAAAACTCGGGATTTTCCACCTTTGGGTGGATTCATTCCCAAATCCAGAGGTAGGACGGAATTCCAGGGCTGTTCCCGGACTCATCCCAGAGGATCCGAGGGAAAACTCCGGGAATTTTTCATTGAATTGTTTGTAAAAACCGGGAATTCCAGTCCTGGGTTTGCTCGGAGTTGTCCCTTTCCCAGTTTTCCCAGGGATTTGGGAATTCCAGCAGGGATTTGTCTCCTCCAGGGAATCCAGGAGCGGAATTTTGCAGCTTCCCAAGGAATCCCTTCGATCCCAGATCGTTTTCCCGGGATGAACTCAAAAAGGCGGGAAAAGCTGCCGGGATCCAGCTCCTTTCTCCCGGAATTCCGTGGATGAAGGAATTCCCCGTTCCCACCTGGAATCATTCCCTGCTGCAGCCACAGGAATTCCACAGGGAACCGGAATTATCCCGGAATTCCAGCGGGGTTTGGAATTTGGGAAGAGCGGGAAGGGCCCGGGGGGATTTGGGGATAAAGGGGCTCAATCCCGGAATTTATTCCCGATATTCCCGGAATTCCCAAAATTCCCCAAATCCCCAGGGAAGGGTTTGGGATCCAGCAGCTCCCAAAAATCCCGGGAAGATCCCGAAAAATTCCAGCTGGGATCAAAGGAACCGGGAACGGCTCAGCCGGGGGCTCTGGGATTCATGGAATTAATTAATGGAATAAGTGGAATTAATAAATGGAATAGAATAAATTGAATTGATGGAATTAATTAATGGAATTAATAAATGGAATTAATGTAATTCATGGAATTAATTAATGGAATTAATGGAATTAATAAATTGAATACATGGAATTAATTAATGGAATTAATAAATTGAATACATGGAATTAATTAATGGAATCATGGAATTCATGGAATTCATGGAATTAATGAATGGAATTAATGGAGTTAATAAATGGAATTAATAAATATAATTGAATTAATTGAATTAATGGAATTGATTAATAGACTTAATGGAATTAATGGAATTAATGAATGGAATTAATGGAATTAATGGAATTAATAAATGGAATCAATAAATTGAATTAATGGAATTAATAAACTGAATAGAATTAATTAATGGAATAAATGGAATTAATTAATAGAATTAACAGAATTCATGGAATTAATAAACGGGATAAATGGAATACATGGAATTAATACATGGAATTAGTGGAATTAATAAATGGAATACATGGAGTTAATTAATGGAAATAATGGAATTAATAAAATTAATGAATTCATGGAATAAACTGAATTAATGGAATTAATGGAATTAATGAATGGAATTAATAGAATTAAATTGAATTAATAAATGGAATACATGGAATTAATTAATGGAATCATGGAATTCATGGAATAAATGGAATAATTGGAATTAATAAATGGAATTAATGGAATTAATGGACTAAATGGAATTAATTAATGGAATAAATGGAATAAACAGAATTCATGGAATTAATAAATGGAATTAATGGAATTAATGGGATGAATGAATGGGATTCATGGAATTATTCCCAGCAATCCCTGGATCAGGAGAGGCCACAGCCCAAATCCAACCATTCCCCTTTTTTCCAGGTTGGAATTCCAGCCCGGGGCTCTCCTCATTCCCATCTCCAGGAATTCCTAAAGGGATTTTAGGGAAAATAAAAAAACCCCAAACTGAAAAATCCGGGAAAAACGAAGGCGAAATCCACAGAATTTGGGAATTTATTGTTGGGATCTTCCCGTTTTTCCAAGGAAAACTTGGATTTTGTAATTCCATTGTTTTACCGGGGTAGGGAGGGTGGGGAAAACACCTGAAAGGGAATTTGGGAATTCTTAAAGGGAATTTGGGATCCTGAAAAGGGAATTTGGGATCCTGAAAGGGAATTTGGGATCCTGAAAGGGAATTTGGGATCCTGAAAGGGAATTTGGGAATTCTTAAAGGGAATTTGGGATCCTGAAAAGGGAATTTGGGATCCTGGAAAGGGAATTTGGGATCCTAAAAGGGGAATTTGGGATCCTAAAATGGGATTTGGGATCCTAAAGGGGAATTTGGGATCCTGGAAAGGGAATTTGGGATCCTAAAGGGGAATTTGGGATCCTGAAAAGGGAATTTGGGATCCTAAAAGGGAATTTGGGATCCTGAAAGGGAATTTGGGATCCTGGAAAGGGAATTTGGGATCCTAAAAGGGAATTTGGGAATTCTTAAAGGGATTTGGGATCCTAAAATGGGATTTGGGATCCTAAAGGGGAATTTGGGATCCTAAAGGGGAATTTGGGATCCTGGAAAGGGAATTTGGGATCCAAGGAAGGGAATTTGGGATCCCTAAATTCTCCCACCCAAGCTCTTTCCTGCCATTCCCAGGGATGAATCCCACAAAATAAAAAATCCCCAAAATCACTTCCGGGGCTTCCCTGAGCTTCCACAATTCCGGATTTGTGGGAATCCCAAAAAGGGGGATGGGACCGGCAGGATTTGGGATTTTTCAGGATGAGAAAGGGGAGGAACAGATCCAAGGGAAAAGGAAAAGGAATTCCCATAAAAAGTGCCTCCAGCTCCGCGTTCCCGGCGGATTCCGGGGGTTCCGGAGGGATCGTCGGGAAGCTCCGCGGTTTTCTGGGATTAGTGGGAAAAACAGGGAAAATCCGGAAGGGGGAGGAGAATTCCAGCTCAAACATCCAAGGACAAAATTCCAGCCGGGAATTCCAATCCCAAGCCCGGGAGAGGCTCCAGGATTGGGAAAAGAGCTCCAGAGGGGGAAAATCCATCCCGAAATTCCCGGATCTCCTGCTGGATCCCGAGGGATCAGGGAAAGGGCTGGGAAAGGGAGAAACATTCCTCTGGATGTTCCTGGAAAACCCCCAAAATTCCCAAAATTCCTGAAATTCCCGAGCTGCGGCCTCCAGCCCCCAGGGAATGGTGAATTAGGGAATTCCCAGATTTCCAGGGAATTGTCCCAGGGTTATTCCCTAGGGTGGGATCCAATCCCAAGGATTTCCCCTCCTGGGAAAAGTGTCCTGGGTCGTTCCCAAAAGTCCTGGAATTCCAGCTGGGATTAGCCAGAAGGGGATGGATGAGCCCTGCAGGGAATATCGGGATCAGAAATGGGAAAAATGGGATGAAAATGGGAAAAATGGGGATCAGAAATAGGAAAAATGGGAGCAAAATGGGTAAATGGGGTCAGAAATGGGAAAATTGGGATCAAAATGGGAAAAACGGGATCAGAAATGGGAAAAATGGGATCAGAAATGGGAAAAACGGGATTAGAAAAGGGAAAATCGGGATCAGAAATGGGAAAAATGGGATGAAAATGGGAAAAATGGGATCAAAATGGGAAAAAACGGGATCAGAAATGGGAAAAATGGGATCAAAATGGGAAAAAATGGGATCAGAAATGGGAAAAATGGGAGCAAAATGGGAAAAATGGGATCAGAAATGGGAAAAATGGGATCAAAATGGGAAAAAAGGGGATCAGAAATGGGAAAAACGGGATCAGAATGGGAAAAATGGGATCAGAGGGGTCTCTGCAGGGAAAATCGGGATCAAAACGGGATCGGAGCTGCCGAGCGGCTCCGGAGCATGGAATTCCTGGCTGGAATGATTCCTGCTCCACATTTACCCCTCCCCCCCTCCCCCCTGGCTGGATCCCACAGAGGAAATCCGGGAAAATCCGGGAAGGGGAATCCACCAGGAAGAGCCTGAAATTCCCAAGCCGGGGGAAATTCCGAGGGAAAAGAGGAATTCCTGAGCAATCCCGGTCACAGCAGCGCCTCCAATGAAATTAACACGGATTTTTTTTTCGGGGGTGGGGGAGGTAGAAGAGAAGGAGAAATCCTCTGGAATTGCCGGGATTCCCGGGATTCAGTCGTAGGAGAGGAAGCGGATGAGCCGGGGCGGGATTTGCAGCTTGGAGATTTTGTGCTGCCCGCGTTGGCCGGCGGCTCTGCGCACGGCCAGGCGGCACAGCTGAGCCAGGGACAGCGGCGTTCCTGCAGGAAAAACCGGAAAAACGGGAGAGAAACGGGTCAGGAAATGGGAAAATGGGGAAAAACGGGAGAGAAACGGGTCAGGAAATGGGAAAATGGGGAAAAACGGGAGAGAAACGGGTCAGGAAATGGGAAAATGGGGAAAAACGGGAGAGAAACGGGTCAGGAAATGGGAAAATGGGGAAAAATGGGAGAGAAATGGGTCAGGAAACGGGAAAAATGGGGAAAAATGGGAGAGAAACATGTCAGGAAAAATGGGAGAGAAACGGGACAGAAATGGGTCAGGAAAAACGGGGAGAAACAGGGAAAAATGGGAGAGAAAAATGTCAGGAAATGGGAAAAACAACGGGGAAAAACAGGAGAGAAATGGGTCAGGAAACGGGAAAAATGGGAAAGAAAAACGTCAGGAAAAATGGGAGAGAAATGGGAGAGAATTGGGTCAGGAAAAATGGGGAGAAACAGAGAAAAACAGGAGAGAAAAATGCCAGGAAATGGGAAAAACAACGGGGAAAAACCGGAGAGAAAAACGTCAGGAAACATCGGGAAAAACAATGGGGAAAAACGGGAGAGAAATGGTCAGGAACCAACGGGAAAAATGGGAGAGAAAAACATCAGGAAATGGAAAAAATGGGGAAAAAAGGGGAAAAACAATGGGGAAAAACAGGAGAGAAAAAAGTCAGGAAATGGGAAAAATGGGAGAGAAATGGGTCAAGAAAAACAGGGAAAAACAGGGAAAAACAATGGGGGAAAACGGGAGAGAAACGGGTCAGGAAAAATGGGGAAAAAGGGGGAGAAACGGGAGAGAAACATGAGAGAAACCATCAGGAATGGGTCAGGAATGGGGAAAAACAGGAGAGAAACCGTCAGGAATGGGGAAAAACAGGGAAAAATGAGGAAAAACAGGAGAGAAATGGGGAAAAACGGGAGAGAAATGGGGAAAAACGGGTGAGGTATGGGGAGAAACAGGAGAGAAATGGAGGAAAACACAGGAGAGAAACGGGAGAGAACAGGGAAAAATGGGTCAGGAAACGGAAAAAAACAACAACAGGGAAAAACAACGGGGAAAAACGGGAGAGAAACGGGTCAGGAAACGGAAAAACAGGGAAAAAACGGGAGAGAAACGGGTCAGGAAACGGAAAAACGGAAAAAACGGGAGAGAAACGGGTCAGGAAACGGAAAAACAGGGAAAAAACAGGAGAGAAACGGGTCAGGAAACGGAAAAACAGGGAAAAAACAGGAGAGAAACGGGTCAGGAAACAGGAAAAACAGGGAAAAACGGGAGAGAAACGGGTCAGGAAACAGGAAAAACAGGGAAAAAACAGGAGAGAAACGGGTCAGGAAACAGGAAAAACAGGGAAAAACAATGGGGAAAAACGGGGGAAAAGGTCAGGAATGGGTTGGGAACAGGGAAAAACGGGAGAGAAACGGGAGAGAACAGGTCAGGAACAGGGAAAAATGGGGAAAACAGGGAAAAATGGGAGGGAAATGGGGAAAAAAGGGTCAGGAACTGGGAAAAAATGGGAAAAAACGGGAGAGAAACTGCTCAGGAACCGGGAAAGACGGAGAAAAATGGGGAAAAAATGGGAAAATCCCTGGGATTGGATAATCCCTGGTGTCAGATAATCCTTGGGATCAGAAAATCCCTGGGATCGGATAATCCTTGGGATCAGACAATCCCTGGGATCAGACAATCCCCGGGATCAGACAATCCCCGGGATCAGACAATCCCTGGGATCGGATAATCCTTGGGATCAGACAATCCCTGGGATCGGATAATCCTTGGGATCAGACAATCCCTGGGATCGGACAATCCCTGGGATCAGACAATCCCTGGGATCAGACAATCCCTGGGATCAGACAATCCCCGGGATCAGACAACCCTTCCCATCCCCGCCACCAGCACATCCCCGTCTCCGCGCGCGGCTCTTCCCGAATTCCCGGGAAAAGGAGGAATTTCCCCACTCACTCTCGTAGAACTGGAAGCAGCGGGCGGCGGCTCCGCCGTTCCCGCTGTAGTCCGAGGGTTTCCGGCCGCGGTTGTCGCGGGCGTTGACGTCGGCTCCGAACTCCACGAGGAGCCGGACCAGGGCGGCGCAGCGCGCCTTGGCCGCGTGGTGCAGCGCCGTCTCGTGAAGCTTGGCCGCGTTCACCTGCGCTCCTGAAACCGGGAAAACGCTTGGAGATCCGGGGATCCGGGATCTGGGATCTGGGATTGGGGGGGAAATGGGATCTGGGGATCTGGGGGGATCCAGGGGGGAAATGGGATCTGGGGATCCAGGGGGGAAATGGGATCTGGGGATCCAGGGGAGAAATGGGATCTGGGGATATCCAGGGGGAAATGGGATCTGGGGAGCTGGGATCGGGGAGCTGGGAGCAGGGAGGAAATGGGATCTGGGGATCCAGGGGGGAAATGGGATCTGGGGATATCCAGGGGGAAATGGGATCTGGGGATATCCAGGGGGAAATGGGATCTGGGGAGCCGGGATCGGGGGGGAAATGGGATCTGGGGAGCCGGGATCCAGTGGGGAAAGGGCATGGAGCCGGGATCAGGGAGCTGGGAGCAGGGAAGAAATGGGATCTGGGGGGAGCTGGAATCCAGGGGGGAAATGGGATCTGGGGATCTGGGGGAATCCAGGGGAGAAAGGGCATGGAGCCGGGAGCCGGGGAGCCAGGATTGAGGGGGAAATGCGATTGGGGGAGCTGGGATATGGGGATCTGGGATCTGGAGAGATCTGGGATATGGGGATCTGGGATCTGGAGAGATCTGGGATATGGGGATCTGGGGGGGGGAATGGGATCTGGGGAGCCGGGATCTGGGGGAGCTGGGATATGGGGATCTGGGATCTGGAGAGATCTGGGATATGGGGATCTGGGGGGGGAACGGGATCCGGGGGAGAAAGGGCATGGAGCCGGGATCAGGGGATCTGGGATCTGGGTGGGAAAAGGGTCCAGGGGGGAAACGGGATCCAGTGGGGAAAGGGATCCAAGGGGGATGGGGATCTGGCTGGAAAAGGGATCTGGGCAGGGAAAGGGATCTGGGCAGAATCCAGCTGGGGAAAGGGATCCGGCAGGGAATGAAGGCTGGGAAGGCCGGGAATGTTGGGAATGCCAGGAATGTCGGGAATGCCAGGAACACCAGGAACACGAGGAAGGTTGGGAATGGCAGAGGGATGCTGGGAACACCAGGAATGCCAGGAACACCGGGAACACCAGGAAGGGCACCGGGAACACCGGGAATGCCAAGAACATTGGGAAGGGCACCAGGAACACCGGGAAGGTCACCAGGAATGCTGGGAACGCCAGGAACACCAGGAACACCGGGAAGCTCACCGGGAACGCCGTACGTACCCGCCTGCAGCAGCAGCTTGGCGCAGCGCAGGTGCTGGCGCGCGCAGGCCACGTGCAGCGGAGTCCCGAAGTGGCAGTCGTGAGCCTCCAGGTTGGCGCCCACGTCGATGAGGAGCTGCACGCACTCCGAGCTCCCTGCAGCCGGAAAAACGGGAAAATCCCATGGGAAAACGGGAATGGACTCGAGGGGCCCCGGGGAGAATTCCGGCCGGGAATTCACCCTGAGGAACGGAGGGTTCCCAAACAAGATTCCGAGGGATCACCTGCTGGTGGTGGAGATGATCCCACCGGGAAAGCGCCAGGAAAATCCCGCCGGGAAAAGGGGATCCGAGCAAGGAAATGGGGGTTAGCCAGGGAAAAGGGGATTTAGGCAGGGAAAAGGAATTCTAGGCAGAGAAAAAGGGAATTTATCCAGGGAAAAGGAAATCCAGATGGGGAAAAGGGAATTTATCCAGGGAAAAGGGGATTTATCCATGGAAAAGTAATTCCAGGCAGGGAAAAGTGGATTTAGCCAGGGAAAACGGGATTTATCCAGGGAAAAGGAAGAGGTCTCTGCAGGGAAAAACAGGATCAAATCTGGGAAAACTGGGATCAGAAATGGGAAAAACGGGATCAGAATGGGATCAGAGGGGTCTCTGCAGGGAAAAATGGAGATTTTCCTGTCCCTTTCCTGCTCAGCCTGGGAGGTTTTCCCATCCCTTTCCAGCCAGGGAGGTTTTCCTATCCCTTTCCAGCCAGGGAGGTTTTCCCATCCCTTTCCCACCTGGAAGTTTTCCCATCCCTTTCCCACCTGGAAGTTTTCCCATCCCTTTCCCACCTGGAAGTTTTCCCATCCCTTTCCCACCTGGAAGTTCCCCGTCCATCCCGCTCCCCAGCCCGTACCGTTCATGCAGGCCTCGTGCAGCGGTGACGCCGTGTAGAGCGGAGGGTTCACCTTGGCGCCGTGCGCCAGCAACAGCCGCACGCACTCCACGCTGCCCGAGGCACAGGCGTCACACAGAGGAGTGCTGCCATCAATGTTCCGAGCGTCCACCTGAACAGACAGGATCAATATCGGTATTGGTACTGGTATTGATATCATTGATATCGATATCAGTACTGATATTGGTACTGATATCAATATTGGTACTGATATCGACACCCCACACTGCCCAAGTGGTCACACAGAGGAGTGCTGCCGTCAATGTTCCGAGCGTCCGCCTGAACAGACAGGATCAATATCGGTATTGGTACTGGTATTGATATCATTGATATTGATATCAGTACTGATATTGGTACTGATATCAATATTGGTACTGATATCGACACCCCACACTGCCCAAGTGGTCACACAGAGGAGTGCTGCCGTCAATGTTCCGAGCGTCCGCCTGAACAGAGAGGATCAATACTGGTATTGGTACTGGTATTGGTACTGATATCATCAATACCAATATCGGTACTGATATCAACACCCCACACTGCCCAAGGCACAGGCGTCACACAGAGGAGTGCTGCCGTCAATGTCCCGAGCATCCACCTGAACAGACAGGATCAATATCGGTATTGGTACTGGTATTGATATCATTGATATCGATATCAGTACTGATATTGGTACTGATATCAATATTGGTCCTGATATTGACACTCCACACTGCCCGAGGCACCGGCATCACACAGAGGAGTGCTGCTGTCGATGTTCCGAGCGTCCACCTGAACAGACAGGATCAATATCGGTATTGGTACTGGTATTGATATCATTGATATCGATATCAGTACTGATATTGGTACTGATATCAATATTGGTCCTGATATTGACACTCCACACTGCCCGAGGCACCGGCATCACACAGAGGAGTGCTGCTGTCGATGTTCCGAGCGTCCACCTGAGCGGAGAGGATCAATGTCGGTATTGGTACTGATATTGGTATTGATATTGGTACTGATATCAATATTGGTACTGATATTGGTATTGATATTGGTACTGATATCAATATTGGTACTGATATCGACACTCCACACTGCCCAAGGCACAGGCATCACACAGAGGAGTGCTGCTGTCGATGTTCCGAGCGTCCACCTGAGCAGAGAGGATCAATATCGGTATCGGTATTGGTATTGGTATTGATATCATCAATATCTATATTTGTACTGATACTGATATTGATATTGGTACTGATATCGACACCCCACACTGCCCGAGGCACAGGTGTCACACAGAGGAGTGCTGCCATCAATGTTCCGAGCGTCCACCTGAACAGACAGGATCAATATCGGTATTGGTATTGGTATTGATATCATTGATATTGATATTGGTAATGATACAGATATCGATATTGGTACTGATATCGACACTCCACGCTGCCCGAGGCACAGGCATCACACAGAGGAGTGCTGCTGTCGATGTTCCGAGCGTCCACCTGAGCAGAGAGGATCAATATCGGTATTGGTACTGCTATTGGTATTGATATTGGTACTGATATCAATATTGGTACTGATATTGGTATTGATATTGGTACTGATATCAATATTGGTACTGATATCGACACTCCACACTGCCCGAGGCACAGGCGTCACACAGAGGAGTGCTGCCGTTGATGTGCCATGCATCCACCTGAGCAGAGAGGATCAATATCGGTATCGGTATTGGTATTGGTACTGATATCATCAATATCTATATTTGTACTGATACTGATATTGATATTGGTACTGATATCGACACCCCACACTGCCCGAGGCACAGGTGTCACACAGAGGAGTGCTGCCGTCAATGTTCCGAGCGTCCACCTGAACAGACAGGATCAATATCGGTATTGGTACTGGTATTGGTATTGATCTTGATATTGATATCATCAATATCAGCATAATATCATCGATATCAGTATTGATATCGACACCCCACACTGCCCGAGGCACAGGTGTCACACAGCCGAGTGCTGTTGTCGATGTTCCAAGTGTTCACCTGAGCAGAGAGGATCAATTATCGGTATTGATATCAATATTGGTACTGATATCAATATTGGTATTGATACTGATACAGATATCAGTACCAATACTGATACTGATATGGATGTTGATATTGGTACTGATATCGATACTGATATTGATATCAATATTGATATTGACACTGGATACTAATATTGGTATTGATATTGACCCTGATATTGATACTGGTATTGATAACAATATTGATATTTATATTGATATTGATAGTGATATTAATCTTGATATTGATACTGGTATTGATACTGATATTGATATTTATATTGGTATTGATATTGATACCGATATTGATACTGATATTGACACTGGTATTGATATTGATACTGATATTGATACCGATATTGATACTGATATTGGTATTGATACTGATACCAATATTGATATTGATATTGATACCAGTATTGATACTGATACTGATATAGATATTAATATTGATACTGGTATTGATATCAATATTGAAACTGATATTGCTATAGATACTGATATTGATAGCGATATTGATACTGGTATTGATATCAATATTGATAGTGACACTGATATTGATATCGATATCTATATTGATATTTTGGGTTCTATTTATAATTATATTACATACATATGACAAACAACAGAATTCATGCTATTGTTATTTAACTATTAAATTACGATTATTATTAATGATATTGGTATTTGATATCGGTATTTATATTAATTTTTATATTTATATCTATATTCATATTTACACTTAAATATTTACTTATATTTATGTTATATATATATTAGACAACTGATGGGATTCATGCTATTATTATTTTTCTATTAAATTACTATTGTTATTAATTATATTTATATTTATATTTATACTTATATTTATAATTACATTTATACTTATATTTATATTACATATATACAACTGATATAATTCATACTATTATTTTACTATTAAATTACTATTGTTATTAATGATATCAATATTGATATTGATATCAATATTGATATCAATATTGATATTGATAGCTTTATTTCTATTTCTATTTATATTATATAAGGCAACTGATGGAATTAATGTTATTATTTTACTATTAAGTTACTATTGTTATTAGTGATATTGCTACTTATATTTATATTTATATTTATATTTATATTTATATTTATATTTGTATTTATATTTATATTTGTATTTATATTTATATTATATTTATATTATATATATGGCAACTGATGGAATTAATGCTATTATTAATTTACTATTAAATTATTATAATTATTAATAATATCAATATTGATACGGATATTGATATGGATATTGATATCAATATTGATAGCTTTATTTCTATTTCTATTTATAATATATAAGGCAACTGATGGAATTCATGCTATTATTATTTTTCTATTAAATTACTATTATTGTTAATGATATCAATATTGACATTGATATTGATATCAATATTGATATTGATAGTTTTGTTTCTATTTCTATTTCTATTTTATATATATGGCAACTGCTGGAATTCATGCTATTATTTTACTATTAAATTACTATTATTATTAATATTGATATTGATATTTATATTATATATACAAGGGAATTGCTAGAATTAATGCCATTATTATTTTACAATTAAATTACTATTATTATTAATGATATCAATATTGTCATTGATATCAATATTGATATTGATAGTTTTGCTTCTATTTCGATTATATATATGGCAACTGATGGAATTAATGCTATTTTACTATTAAATTACTATCATTGTTAATATTTATATTGATATTTTTATTATATATATAAAGCAACTGATAGATTATTATTTTATTATTATTTTAAATTTATTATTAAATTTACTATTTTTATTTATTATAAAATTACTATTTATTTAAATTTATTATTATTTTACTACTATTGCTAAATTGCTGTTATTGTTTTGTTTCTTGTGTTGGTTTGATTTTGTTGTAACACTTGTATATAAATTAACAAAAAATTATTAGTTATAACTTTTTTATAAATAAAAATTTATTAGTTATAATTTAGGTAATTTATATGTTATAAATAATATATATATAAAAATGCATAAGCATATAAATATATAAAATATAGTAATATATTAAAATATATATAATTTAAACTTGCTTATAGAAATATATAAATATAAATATATATATCACATGATTTATTTTTATAAGCATAAAAATAAAGAATTGTCATATAGAAATATATATAAATATAAAATATATACATATATAAATGTATAAATTATAAAAATATATAAATTGTAAATATAAACATATATATATAAATTTATAAACATATAAATTTATAAATATAAAAATACGTAAATATATAAATTATGAACACACAAACATATAAAATATAAAACTATATAAATTATAAATAAATAAAAAATATAAAATATACAAATATAGAAAAGTGCAAAACATGAAACACATAAATTATAAGTATATAAATATATTTTGTATAAATATATAAAAATATATAAATTATATATAAACATATAAAAATATATAAATTATAAAAATACATAAAAAAATTAAAAATATATAAAAATTACAAAAATATATAGAAAATATATAAGAATATATATAAATATATAAAAAGATATAAATTATAAATACAGAAATACGTAAAAATATATAATTTATAAATATAGAAACATGTAAAAATGTATAAAAAAAAGCTCCATTGGGATTTTGGGATGGGAAAGGTCGGGAATGGTTTCTGGGAATGTGGCAGGTGGATGGGATGGAATCTCTCTGGGAGTGTGGAATCTGTCCCTGCTCTGGATATTTCCGCTTTTCCTGCCTTTTTCCATGAGGAATTTTCACTTTAATTCAATGTAAATATCTCCTGGCTCAGCTCGAGCTCAGAATGGGATCAGAGAATTGAACCCAAGTATGGAATTCCCAGCTGGAATTCTCACTCCAATGTAAATATCCCCTGGCACAGCTCGAGCTCAGAATGGGATCAGAGAATTGAACCCAAGTATGGAATTCCCAGCTGGAATTCTCACTCCAATGTAAATATCCCCTGGCACAGCTCGAGCTCAGAATGGGATCAGAGAATTGAACCCAAGTATGGAATTCCCAGCTGGAATTCTCACTCCAATGTAAATATCCCCTGGCACAGCTCGAGCTCAGAATGGGATCAGAGAATTGAACCCAAGTATGGAATTCCCAGCTGGAATTCTCACTCCAATGTAAATATCCCCTGGCACAGCTCGAGCTCAGAATGGGATCAGAGAATTGAACCCAAGTATGGAATTCCCAGCTGGAATTCTCACTCCAATGTAAATATCCCCTGGCACAGCTCGAGCTCAGAATGGGATCAGAGAATTGAACCCAAGTATGGAATTCCCAGCTGGAATTCTCACTCCAATGTAAATATCCCCTGGCACAGCTCGAGCTCAGAATGGGATCAGAGAATTGAACCCAAGTATGGAATTCCCAGCTGGAATTCTCACTCCAATGTAAATATCCCCTGGCACAGCTCGAGCTCAGAATGGGATCAGAGAATTGAACCCAAGTATGGAATTCCCAGCTGGAATTCTCACTCCAATGTAAATATCCCCTGGCACAGCTCGAGCTCAGAATGGGATCAGAGAATTGAACCCAAGTATGGAATTCCCAGCTGGAATTCTCACTCCAATGTAAATATCCCCTGGCACAGCTCGAGCTCAGAATGGGATCAGAGAATTGAACCCAAGTATGGAATTCCCAGCTGGAATTCTCACTCCAATGTAAATATCCCCTGGCACAGCTCGAGCTCAGAATGGGATCAGAGAATTGAACCCAAGTATGGAATTCCCAGCTGGAATTCTCACTCCAATGTAAATATCCCCTGGCACAGCTCGAGCTCAGAATGGGATCAGAGAATTGAACCCAAGTATGGAATTCCCAGCTGGAATTCTCACTCCAATGTAAATATCCCCTGGCACAGCTCGAGCTCAGAATGGGATCAGAGAATTGAACCCAAGTATGGAATTCCCAGCTGGAATTCTCACTCCAATGTAAATATCCCCTGGCACAGCTCGAGCTCAGAATGGGATCAGAGAATTGAACCCAAGTATGGAATTCCCAGCTGGAATTCTCACTCCAATGTAAATATCCCCTGGCACAGCTCGAGCTCAGAATGGGATCAGAGAATTGAACCCAAGTATGGAATTCCCAGCTGGAATTCTCACTCCAATGTAAATATCCCCTGGCACAGCTCGAGCTCAGAATGGGATCAGAGAATTGAACCCAAGTATGGAATTCCCAGCTGGAATTCTCACTCCAATGTAAATATCCCCTGGCACAGCTCGAGCTCAGAATGGGATCAGAGAATTGAACCCAAGTATGGAATTCCCAGCTGGAATTCTCACTCCAATGTAAATATCCCCTGGCACAGCTCGAGCTCAGAATGGGATCAGAGAATTGAACCCAAGTATGGAATTCCCAGCTGGAATTCTCACTCCAATGTAAATATCCCCTGGCACAGCTCGAGCTCAGAATGGGATCAGAGAATTGAACCCAAGTATGGAATTCCCAGCTGGAATTCTCACTCCAATGTAAATATCCCCTGGCACAGCTCGAGCTCAGAATGGGATCAGAGAATTGATCCCAAGTATGGAATTCCCAGCTGGAATCGCCCCTGGGTGTGAGCCTGGCTCAGCCTCCCACACAAATCCCACTGGGAATGGGATCATCCCAGCTCCTTCCCTGCTGGGATGGGATTCCTGGATCCAGGGATGGGATTGCTGGAGCCAGGGATGGGATTACTGGAGTCATGGAATCATTTTGGTTGGAAAAGACTTTCTAGGATGGAATCCAACCATTCCCAGCCCTTCCCTGTCCCCAGGGGCCACATCCACAGGGCTCTGGAATTCCTCCAGGGAAGGCGACTCCCCCCTGCCCTGGGCAGCTCATTCCAACACTTCACAACCTTTTCCATGCAGGAATTTTCCCTGAAATCCAACCCAACCCAACCCAAACATTCCCTGGCCCATCCTGAGGCCGTTCCCTCTCCTCCTGTCCCTTTTTCCTGGGATAAGATCCCAAATCCCCCCCGGCTGTCCCCTCCTGGCAGGGAGTTGTGCAGAGCCAGAAATTCCCCCTGATCCCTCTTTTCTCTGGGATGAGCCCCTTCCCAGCTCCCTCAGGAATTCTCCAGCCCCTCCAGGAATTCTCCAACCCCTTCCCATCTCCTCCAGGAATTCTCCAGCCCCTTCCCAGATCCCTCAGGAATTCTCCAGCCCTTTCCCATCTCCCTCAGGAATTCTCCAGCTCCCTCAGGAATTCTCCAGCCCCTTCCCTGGACACTCTCCAGATTCTCAGAGCAAGGACCCAAACCCACACCAAATCCATCCAGAACATTCACCCGATTTTTGCCTCTGGCGCTTCCGGGGTGATCCAGATCCCCCGGGCAGGGATCCCAGGGAATTCCCAGCAGGATCAGGGGTGAGAACACACCTGGGCCCCCGCGTCCAGGAGCATTTTGACGCACTGGGCCTGTCCCCTGAGGCTGGCCTCGTGCAGGGGTGTGATGGAGTCGTAGGTGAGGGCGTTGACGCAGGCGCCGCTCTCGATCAGCTGCCGCAGCTGCCGGATCTCCCCGCGCCGGGCGGCCTCGTGCACCGGCGTGCGGTCGGCCCAGAAAGCTGGGAAAGAGGGGGGAAAAAAGTCAGGGATTCAGTCAGGAAAACTGTGGGGAGAAGGTGGGCACGGCATGGGATGGGTTATCCTGGAGGAACTCGGATGGAATTCCCAGGGATTGGTTTGTGAGGTCCTCGTTGCTTTGCTGATGTCTCCGGCAGCGTGGAGCAACAGGCACTTCCCAAAAATCTCTGGTGCTTCCCCAGAAATCTTTGGGAAGCAAATCTGAATGAGGATGGAGAGCTTCCAGCACATTCCAGGAATTCAAGGGGCTCCAGGAGAGCTGGAGAGGGACTGGGGACAAGGCCTGGAGGGACAGGACACAGGGAATGGCTTCCACTGCCAGAGGACAGGGATGGATGGGATCTGGGGAAGGAATTCCTGGCTGGAATGGAATTCCCAGAGCAGTTGTGGCTGCCCCTGGATCCCTGGAATGTCCAAGGCCAGGCTGGACAGGGCTGGGAGCAGCCTGGGATGGTGGAAGGGGTCCCTGCCCCGGGAATTGGGACACGAGCCACTGGCCTGGCCGGGATTTGGGCACCTGTGGCTCCAAGGTGGGAACGGCCCCGATCCCACAGCCCTGATCCCACAGCCCCGATCCCACAGCCCCGATCCCACAGCCCTGATCCCACAGCCCTGATCCCACAGCCCCGATCCCACAGCTCTGATCCCACAGCTCTGATCCCACAGCCCTGATCCCACAGCCCCGATCCCACAGCACCGCAGGGAATTAGGGAGGAACACAGATCATTTCCTGGGAATTTAGGGAGGAACAGGGAATTTAGGGAGGGACAAGGATCGTTCCCAGTGTCTTCGCGCTGTCCCAAGAGCATCCTCTTATCCCTTTCCTTGCCAAAGGCCGCTCATTCCCAAAACCATCCTGTAGTCCCCAAACCCATCCTTAAATCCATCCTTAAACCCATCCTTAACCCCAAACCCATCCTTAAACCCCCAAACTCATCCTTAAACCCATCCTTAACCCCCTAGACCCATCCTTAACCCGCAACCCCATCCTTAAATCCCCAAACTCATCGTTAAACCTATCCTTAAACCCTCAAATCCATCCTTAACCCCCTAAACCCATCCTTAACCCCCAAACCCATCCTTAAACCCCCAAACTCATCCTTAACCCCCGACCCAAAACCATCCTGCAACCCCAAAAGTGTTCTGCAGCCCCAAAACCCATCTTGAAGCCCCCAAATCACTCTTTAATACCCAAAACCATCCTGCAGCCCCCAAAATCCATCCTTTAATTCCCAAAACGCTCTTTTTTAACACCCAAACCCACACTTTGACCCCCAAAACCACCCCGCAAGCCCCAAACCCATCCTGCAACCCCCCGAACCCGGCGCTCCGAGCAGCTACCGAGCGCTCCCGGCGCGGCTCCGTCCCCCGGCTCCTCTCCCCTTCTCCCGGAAGCACCCCTCACGGAGCCCGGTTCTGCCCCGGTGTCCCCCTCACGGAGCCCGGTTCTGTCACCCCACACGGAGCCCGGTTCTGCCCCGATGTCACCCCACACGGAGCCGCTGCCCGAGCCCGGGTCCGCACCGATATCGCCCCACACGGAGCCCGGGTCCGCCCCGATGATTCCCCGCACGGAGCCGCTACTCGAGCCCGGTTCTGCCCCGGTGTCCTCCCGCACGGAGCCCGGTTCTGCCCCGGTGTCCTCCCGCACGGAGCCCGGTTCTGCCCCGGTGTCGTCCCGCACGGAGCCGCTGCCCGAGCGCGGGCTCGCCATGGCCCGGCCCCGGAGCCGCCGCTGCGGCCTCGTCCCGCGGCTCGGGCCTCCTGCGGCTGCGCGGCCCGCGCGGAGCACGCCGGGAGTTGTAGTGCGGACCGCGCGGTGGGGATACTGGGGATACTGGGATGGGAGAACTGGGGATACCGGGGGAACTGGGATGGGGGAACTGGGGATACTGGGATGGGGAACTAGGGATACTGGAATGGGGGTACTGGGGATAGTGGGATGGGGGAACTGGGGATACTGGGATGGGGGAAGTGGGGATACTGGGGTGAGGATACTGGGGATACTGGGATGGGGAACTGGGGATACTGGGATGGGGGAACTGGGGATACTGGGAAGGGGCTGGAGAATTG